TGGTGCTGTCTCGCCAGCGGCGTTTACCCCCCTTTGGCGTCGGCCCCCGTGCCCCCTCCCCCCCCTGTGCCCCCCCGCGGTGTCATCCCGGTGCCCCCTGTATTTCAGCCAAAGTATCGACTTTGTAACGACCAGTCGGGTTGACAGCTCTTCAGCCTTGCTCGAGACAGCATGCCCATATCACGACCATCTATTTTGGGTAGGCCGTACTCTGTGTTGGGTGGGCATCTCGCGTGTATTGACAGCACAGCACGCCATTCGACTACTGCACAGGGATAAGCACCACAGCGATCACAACACATCCGGAGGCATCAGCATCAGCATAGGCACCAGCATAAGAATCAGCCTCAGCCTCAGCATCGATAACCCCTCCACAAACACACGAACACAAGCAACGTTATACCCCGTTGCATGACCTCGACACTGCCGATCTATCTACTTGATGAACCCTTCGAAGTGAAACCGCTCATTGAACCGGTGGCGATGGAGATCTTTGCAAGGAGATCGTTTTTGACACCAAAGGTCGAGGGCGGGCAAAGCAACCGGGGAGGGGCTTGGGTGGTGATACAGGGCGTGTGCACCGGACCCTGTATAGCAGATTACGATGCCGAGGGCGCCACCATTGCCATGTCCTTGGATGGCCGATGTAGAGCAGGCTCACTCTGCGATTCCAACAGCGGCGTTTTTCGTACCACTGCAAGGAAAACACATCGCATGGTTTCGTGAACAGGAGCCGGGGGGGGGGGGGGGGGCAGCGAGGTCGATGAAACAGTAGAGGAACGCTGTTAGAGGCAGGGGTACATAATAGTCCAGATGTTTACGTATAACCGGGTAGCGGAAATGTTACACTATGGAGTCACGTGTAGTCATGGAGAAGTTGGTGTGGGCGACAACACACCGCAATATAACCACACATGCACACAAAATCTTAAAAAAATTGGTGTTGTGAACATATTGATGCTCTGGCCGCGTGCACACCTCCCCCGCCGGTTGGAGATCTCGTCCGCGAGAATGATCCGGCCGCTTCCGCGCCTGGGGGTGGCAGCGTCGCCGCCGGCCACGTCTTGCTGGCTCTCGGCGAGGGCCAAGGTAGCTGGCGAAGATGCGGAGTGACCAAGAGGCGCCAGCGTGTTGGACACCTGCTTCGCGGTTCATGTGGTGCATAGAGGTCATGAGGTGGATAACGACTCTTCTTCGAGAAATCGTAACTTTTCATCGCACACGCTATCTACATTTTGTGTTGTATGGAAACCAGCACCTCCTAACGTAGCCAGATGCGATACAAAAACATTTGCCGTAGGGCCTGCAATGGATTGGCCACCGCCCGTACGGTAACCACCGACATCTCCGGAAGATGCTATTTAGGTTCCAGGATTCACCCCACAGTCAGTCGTAAATATCCCCAGCAACAAAAAGTAATCACGCCAAAAGGGGGAATCATTCCATCCCATGTCCATCCGCATATCCCATTCCGCGTCGCGAAATATCGCGATTTGTAACAAACCACGTGACCCCCCCCACGAAGGGAAACACCCTTGAGGCACCTTTGGCAACGTAGGTTGGAACGATAGGCAATCGGTGATCGACCCACTGCGAAATTCTCCGTCCCCTCGAGGACGCGTAGTCAATGGCCAAACAACCACGGCATGCGACACAACAGTACTCCCCCCCCCGCTCTGTTTCGAGCTCTCACGCATCCCTCCTACATCGTCATATCCCAACCTGCATGGCGAAGGCAGCCGCCTCCCCGCTAAGCCGCTGTGCCCTGACACGGTTCTCCTCGAACTTCTCCGTCACGCTGCAGAACTCCTGGAAGTACGACTCCCTCTTCTTGGTCTCGGCGAACTTCGGGACGCCTTCCACCCGAGAAGGCGGGTTCGGGAACTGTAGGAGACCGGAGGGGGTCGGGCCGGTGAGATTCTCGGCGTTCGGCCGTTTTCGCATTTCGCTCGACGTCCGGGGTGGAGGTTCGTGTCTTGACCGATGTAGTCTATACATGTTGACCATTTTCTTGCCACCATGGCCGTCACTTGTTAAAAAAAAAATCTTCATCTCCTCTAAGAGGCACCTCTTTCCCCGTAAGGTATTGTATTGCCCGGTTGTACTGCACTCGAGAAGTGCATTCATTCATTGCCTAGGCCGGCATGACCGAAGGCCGGCGAACGGTAGATATTATCCCACGTGAAGAACGTCGTGCGTATCTGCCTGGAAAGGATTGTGTGTGTCCGCACCCGAAAGGTACATGATAACAGAGACGGCTACACGTCGCACGCACTACGGCTGTCGCTCAGCGCGATAGAGGAAGATCTATCTCTACCTAGCGCCAAAACCTTCAGAGGTGGGCGCCGAGTGTGGTCAAAGAGGCCACATCACGTGAATCGAAGTCACGCGATGTTAAGTTCTTGATCCGCCGGGGATTTCGTTTTTGCTATGGAGAGGTAGACGTCATACGTGTAGGCCCGAAGGAGCAGCGCCAACCCCTCTGTACGATACCGGGAGAATCATGTCACGTAAACCATTCCAGCTTGAGGGAACATTGTAAGACAAAACAACGTAGTAGTGGTGGTAGTAGTAGTAGTAGTAGTAGTAGTAGTAGTTGCTGCTGCTCCTGTTGGTGTCGTCGTCAGGAGGTCTTTCACGCGTGCAAAGAGTTTAGTCTCACCAAGAGGGTGTCCCACTCGTCGAACGTGGTTCTCATCAGCCCCGGCCTCGCCGCAGCACTCCCCCGTTTCGTCTTCGTGGCGCCCGAACCGGTGCTGCTGCCTTCCCCGCCGGCCGGCAAACCGGGATTTACCTTGGAGGACGTGGGAGGGGCATCAATGCATAGCTCGTGACACACATAAAGAAACAGTTACGCCGTGGGTCTGGGGTGGAGCAAACGTGAGTCCGGATGCCCAATAGGTCGACTGACCGCAAACAAGGCTCAGGCCGAACGCACGACGACGTTATGAACGAGAG